GTCTACGGCAAGGGTTCCAAGCGATACCTAAGAGACCTGCTTGTTGAAACCATAGTAAAAAATGATGGATACCCATTGTATCGTCAGCGATCAGTTGCGGACAATGGGCGATCGGTAGTTGTGAAGGTAAGAGGCCAAAATKYTGATGTAGACAATCGTTGGATTGTGMTATACTCGCCAATATTGTCCAAAGTTTTTGAGACTCACATCAATGTGGAATATTGTAACTCTGTGAAGTCGATAAAGTACATATGTAAATATGTTAACAAAGGTAGCGATATRGCTGTTTTTGCTGTAACCAATGCAAMTGATGAAATATCACAATACCAGATGGGTCGCTATGTAAGTAGCAACGAAGCAATTTKGCGTATCTTTTCATTTGCGATCCATGAAAGACACCCTACAGTAGTCCATTTGGCAGTCCATTTAGAAAATGGTCAACGAGTTTATTTTAATGAATCGAACGCAGCAGACAGAGCGGAACGTCCACCGTCGACAACATTAACAAGTTTCTTCACAGTCTGTTAAACTGGTGATTTTGCTCGCACGTTGCTATATGCTTACATGCCACGCTATTACACATGGAATGCATCATYGAAATCGTTTCAGCGTCGAAAACAAGGAACACCAGTTGAWGGACATCCAAATGTATTTGCTTCAGACGCTCTGGGTCGCATCTACACAGTACATCCAAATAACGATGAATGTTATTATTTGCGATTGTTGTTSGAAAATGTTCGTGGTCCGACATCGCTTAAACAACTGAGAACAGTTAATRGACAGCTGTKTGCGACTTACYGTGAGGTATGTCAACTATTACATTTACTTGAGAACGATTCGCACTGGGATGATACGCTCAAGGATTCCRTAATATCTTCATCGCCGCATCAAATTCGTACATTGTTTGCGATTATCATATCGACATGTTTACCCTCTAATCYAAAAGATTTGTGGGTTAAGTATAGAGATAACATGTCTGAGGATGTTTTGCATCTTGTGCRCCGTCAAACTTTGAATCCTACACTACAAATGACTGCAGAAATTTACAATGAGACATTGATCATGATAGAAGATATGTGTTTATTGACGGCAAATAAAGTATTGTCGTGTTTGGGAATGACAGCACCAAATCGTCATATGCACGATGCATTAAACCACGAGTTGCAAAGAGAACAATAGTACGACATTRAAGCATTGGCCGAGACAGTTCGTACAAATGTTCCACATTTAAATCAACAACAAAGAATTGCGTACAACACTTTGATAGAAGCTGTGAACAGTGGATCTGGTGGAATTTATTTCCTTGATGYTCCCGGAGGAACCGGAAAAACGTTCTTAATTTCATTGCTTTTGGCGAGGATTAAATCGCGAAATGATGTTGCTCTAGCGTTGGCTTCATCTGGAATAGCTGCGACTCTGCTAGAAGGCGGGCGAACTGCAAATTCTGCCTTGAAATTACTATTAAAYATGCAAATGACCGAAACACCAATTTGCAACATCGCCAAAAATAGCGCAATGGCCAAGATCCYACAGGTATGCAAATTGATTGTTTGGGATGAATGCACAATGGCCCATTAGAGGTCACTGAAGGCACTGGACAGAACGTTGAAAGATCTTCGTGACAACCAAWATATTTTTGGTGGGGCCATGATTCTGTTGTCAGGTGATTTTCGTCAGACTCTTCCAGTTATTCCCCGATCAACTGTTGCTGATGAACTAAATGCATGCCTAAAATCATCGAATTTGTGGCAGTATGTATAGACACTCCAATTAACAACTAACATGCGAGTATTTTTGCAACAAGATGAAACTGCAAATGTGTTTGCGAAGCAGTTGTTAGACATTGGAAATAATAAAGTTGCAGTGGACACCTCGACCGGATTCATCACATTACCCACAGATWTCTGTCACATCACAGACTCAAAAGAGGAGCTTATTCAGCGTGTTTTCCCATATAAAACGCAAAAGTTCAATAACCATGATTGGCTGGGTGAACGAGCAATATTGGCGGCGAAAAATAAAGATGTCGAGGATCTCAATGCGACCATTCAGAATTTTCTTCCAGAACAGTTGGTTTCCTTCAAAACAGTCGACACCCTTATGAACCAGGATGACGTAGTCARCTATCCTACGGAGTTTTTAAATTCACTGGAATTGTCTGGATTACCACCTCACAATTTGCARTTAAAAGTAGGATCAGTTGTCATCATGCTGCGTAACATTAATCAACCTCGACTGTGCAATGGAACAAGACTRGCTGTGAAAAAGCTGATGAAWAAYGTCATTGAGGCAACRATCWTAAAAGGAAAATACAAAGGAGAGGATGTCTTGATCCCGCGGATACCGATGATTCCAACGGATTTACCATTCGATTTTAAACGCTTACAATTTCCAGTACGTCTGGCCTTTGCGATGACCATAAATAAATCGCAAGGATAGTCGTTAGAAGTTTGCGGAATTAACTTGGAGTTTCCCTGTTTCGCGCATGGACAATTATGCGTCGCGTGTTCGCGCGTCAGAAAACCGTCTTCTTTGTTTATTTACGCACCACAAAACAAAACWAAAAATATAGTTTATGTGAAAGCTTTAAATTGATTAACAGACTGTATCATAACAATGTGTGTCTGTCAATATCAAATTTAAACCTTATAAATAGCCAGTATTTCAGGAAAACTCTGTTTTGTAAGTAAGCAACATGATGTGTCGAAAATAATAATAARACTTTATGCTTCATTCAAAAAATCCTTTTTTATTAAAAACGAAYTCGTTTTGTTTGTTTTAAGATTATTTTATATAAAAGTTTAGGTCTTTTATTTATCGATTGAGGCAGTACGARGTCTGCCGGGTCAGCTAGTTCGTAATAAATATCGAACTAGAATCTTAGTCRGTAAAATCGGACGCGCGCGGTTTGAATACAATTAGTTACCGTACGATCATTTCGGATCGTACACAGTAAGTGTAACTAGAAAGGTGATTGGCAATTTTCCTTTTCAATTTTTGCCAACATAAACAATAGGTATCATGAATATAAAAATAAATAAATCATCTGACGAATTTGTAAATAGAGACAGAAGAAATAAAAGACCAAGAATATTTTCAACATCTTTAGATGAGGATTTTGACRAGAACCTTGCGCAGAATAAAAGTGWATTATTAGGTAATAAAAAGAACGAATCTACCACGGGGAAAGAAGATTCTGAGTCCGATTCATTGTCAGAAGAGGATGATGATGCGGAATAGCAACAAATAAGAACAAAAACTTCAATATATAATAAATATTCAGAAAAAAAAGGTATTTAAAATTAAAAACTTTGACTGACATGATCTTTTTTTATTATTCAAATTATTTTTCACTGATTAAATATAAAAAATAATAGTTGAAAAAACTGTGGCTATCGGTCGAACAACGGCACAATGCGACATTCGCGTCGAAACGCGATAACATTTAAACCACCGCAAAAATAAAAACACCTTTTTTTTACACTCGGCCGCGGCGTCTCACATGAGGGCCGTGCAGACATCCTTTGGCAGACAACACTAGTTTTCAAACACGGGATGCGCCCCCGCAAGTGGTTCGTCTTTTCCAAGTTGGCTTACGCCGCGTAATTTTGATCGCAGCATTGAGATGATTGATTGATCCACGTCGTGCGATCACGACGCGGAGGCAATGCCATTAGGTAAACTGTACAACGATTATTTTAAATATCGTTCGTTACTCACTTCTTTCCCGGATAACGCGGTGAAAAAACCTATCGTATTAGGGTCTCTGGAAGGGGCGTGGCTTACCCTAGCGGCAAAAATATAAACTAGCTTTTGTAGGCTACTATGCATTACGTATATAAACATAATAGAGAACGTTTATAAAATTATCATTTTTTTATAATTAAATTGAATAATATCTTARCAGGAATTTTTAGAGCATTTAAATAAATTTGCTAATACAGGGTAAGATAAATTCTGCTTTAGCWTCATACAAGTCATCAAAATCATTATTCGCAAGTCAAATCTAGAAGATGTTTTGTGTTTTGATCGTACGGTTACGACTTATTCTTCCAGTAAATTCAATACTTCAAAAGTAGAAATACTAGTCAGTATACTTAATACTTCTTTTGATTTAATTTAAGAGRAGAATTTTAGGATCATTCGGTCACTTTGAACTTGTATCCCTATACTTTTACGTTCTCTTAAGAATAATGCATTTTTCTTAGTAGAAATTGATATTGTCTGAGTTTTATTACAATTTAAGTTATAAATGTAATGTAATTGTCTTGTCTATCAATCATTTCTTTATCCCCAAATTTGTTTATTCGATAAAAAAAATGTTTTTTAMGAGTTGGAAAATGAAAAAACCTAATTTTTTTATCACGACAAGCTTTGCTTGTACAACTAAATACACAGCAATACACTTTACTTATATTTTTTTTTTGCTGGTAACTGTATGACAAACAAAAAAATTATTTGCAACAACTTTTTGGTTTAACGATAATAGTTATTTTTAWTTCTACTTTCAATAATAAAAAAGCAAGTCAAAAAATTAAAAATATATGTAAATATTTCAACATGAATATCGTGTAGTTGAAATTATCTGTCAGCAATTCAGCACATATACCCTTAGTTTTAATTTAGCCACCAGATAGCGTATAGACTAAAGGCCCGTAGCAAAAAATTAATAGGTCATTTGACCCACCAGAAAACCTATTTGGAAAGATAAAGGGGCATGAAATAATAACATTTAGCACATTGCCGTCACTTGTAAGCTCTTCTACTGAGTGCTGGTGAGAAATTAAAAGCACAGGTAGAGGAGGGTCCTTTTTGTCATATATTTTTGTAGAGCATTCTTACCACCAATCTGTGTTAGCATAACAGCTACTAGTCTCCGGGGAGAAGTATTCGCAGATTTATACAATTGCTCGGCGTCCATATCAATTAAGACCACTCATTTCTCTAACATTTGGTCCTTCGAGCCGGATCGAGCATTTGCAGTGCAGATTTATAAAAATTAGTAAAGTTCATTGTGTGCGGTTCATTTCGTCATCTCAATCTCTTTGTTCCGCGTAAAGTAGTGCCATCTCAATCGCTGTATTGTTACGCGGAAAAGTAGTGCCATCTCAGTCTCTTTGTTCCGCGCGAAATAGTGCCATCTCAAATCGTGTTCTTACGCGTGACGTAGGCCGTCTCACGCCCGCTCTTGCGTCGTGAGAAGTAGTACCGTATCACTCGCGTTAGTGTGACGCGTGAGCCGCACCCCCCTCTCTCACTCACGAGCAGGGTGGGATATAGCCATCTATCTCTCGCGAAACGTGTCGTCTCACTCGCTTCGCGCGACCCGCGAACAGTTCCCCCTCTCTCACTCCTGAGTAGCGTGGGGTATTGTCATCTCGTTCGCGGTGTTCATCAAACAGTGCCGTTATCTTTCGCGACATTGGCTTCTCATTGGCACTACTTATCAATAGTGATTCTCATTTGTGAACTTATCAAGCAGTGACACTCAATGCAGACATCTCAATTACTCATCACGATGGTGCTTGTGCGTGAAGAAGATTAAAAAGACCAA